TCCTGGCCGTTAGTCTTGGTTTGGCCACCGTTTGAGCTGTTTCACCGCGCTTTGACCACGATCGTTTTCGCACAATGTTGTCATATGTGACCCATTTCTCATCCCTAGTCACCATCCGTTTAAGAAATGGGTCGATTTCATTCCGTTTGGCCAAGGCTTCGCAGATGGAAGTTCGATCCATCATGTCTCTTTGTATTAATTGGTGTGGCACCCAAACATCGAGTTTCTTTTTGAATCCAGCTTTGTGCAAATGTCTTAAAACTGTTTTATGGTCGATCTTTATGGTCGATTTTTATGGTCTGTTTTATGGTAGCTCCTGGGCAATGCTACGACTGCTAACATGCCGGTCGATTATTTCTGTGATTTTATCGACATTTTCGACGACGGGCCTACCTGTGCATCTTTAACATCGAAAATACCTGAACGGAATCGACAAAACCAAAATTGCATGTAAGTGGCTGTATCGGCACTATAAACACCATTCACAATTACAGCCGCCTGGCTTGCATTTTCGCCTTTATCAAAGAAAAACTATAAAATGTACCGAATTTTCTCTTTGTTGACTTCCATTTTTAACATCCTGTAACTCACAACTGAATGGACCAAACAAAAAACAACAAAAGAATTTTTTTAGTGCGAAATGTCACCTTTCCAACAAGCATAAATCTGAAATTGTTTGATCGATACTTTACGAGATATCGATCACTACAGCCATATATCGAAAAAATAATGGATTTCTTTTTCCCCAACCTAATATATAAGGTATCCCATTTTAAAAGACCCATTGAAATATCTTTTTAGAAAAGTGTTTTAGAGGAAATTGTTTTAAACAAAAGTTATAAGGTTCAGAGGGAGGCATCCAATGATAACGTTGTCTTTGTCACGGATGTTCATTTTCAAGATCATTTGAAAGTCAACTTTTGTTTTTTAAATGGAATGACCTATTTTTAATACCGAAAATTAATAAAAGAGGAAATTTTACGTTAAAAAAGATATAATAAAATGTGACATCGAATTGACCCCAAAGGGTCATTCCAAGGTCAAAAAAGTTTTCACTCCAGAAATGAGTTCAGTTATGCTTCATGGCATGGGCTCAAATTGACTCCAGAGGTCATTTAAAGGTATACTTGTACTCAATACGTGAATGGAATCATTGCTTCGATCGTTCAATTTCGATCCAACAAGAACTTTTGCAGCAACGAAGCATATATTCGTCTCATTACGAGTCGTCAAACATTTTTTCAAACAAAACGTATATGCCTGGCACCACTTTTACCGAACTGAAAACTGAAATCGCTGAAAACTGATACTGACCGACGCATTCGACTTGCATTTACGTAAAAAAAAATTAATTAGTAATTAATTCTTCTTCTACATAAAACTCCATAACCTTATACTGTATGAAAAATCAATAAATTTTGATTATTCCAACATTTATTTAGGTTTGTAAGACCTATTTTACTAATATTTCTCCGATCTCAAAACACTTAAAGAAATATCATTTTATTGGAAAAAAACACTTTAAAAAAATGGCAATATTAGAGATCGGACCGCGGACTTCGAAGGTAGTCACCTTATCGTTTAGTCACGCGTTACTTTGAAATTCACTTTTGTTACACTAACATACATGTGATGATGAAATTTTTTATCGTTAATAACTTTTGAGTGGTTGACTATCCATATCTAATATTTTACATTTGTACATGGAGCTTCCGCCCTACAAACTGTTAAAATTTGGTTCAGATCTGCGTGACCCAATTCAGATCAATGAGATCTCCTTATTAGGTGTAACGTTTTAAGCATCAGCTCTTTCGCTATTGTCCGTCGGAAGTAACATCCGGCAACGGCTACTGCCGTTTTCCTGCGCCGTTGGGCGCCTATCAAGTTCCTATATGCGAATTCTGCAACATCATATTTTCTAAGTTCGCAAAGAACTTAAACTTCGGAACGAGTTAATCGTTTCCCGTGCATTTTATAGATATTTTATAAATCGACGAGGACATATCTTGCCAAACATCGAACTCGTATACACTACGCCTGATGTGTTTCAGGTCCGAAAGGGCCATCGCGGTGACCGACGATCACTAAAAGCTCAGCTTCTCGCCCGGAAGGGTGAAGACGTATGGCAACTCATTATCTTCCGAAGATTCGCCGTGATCGTCCTCGAGTTCTCGTCAACGAGAATTTCTAAATAGTTTGTAAATGTGCCGTCTTTTTAAGCTATAAATTAGTCAGTTATTTCACATATATGAAGGTGATTTGAAAAGTAACTTGATTTAATATTAAGGACAATTTTAATTTCACAAGATATTTATTTTTCAACATCTCTTATAAATTTTTATACTCTCCTATAAATCTCGAAGCTTAACGTACTTCCACAACTGTTTCTGCAGGTTTCCGATTTCTTCTCGAAAATAGGTTTTATTGAGGTCTTCAAAATAGTCGTTTACGGCCTCTGTAGCCTCTTTATTTGACCCAAATCTCTTTCTAGCTAGGAAAATTTTGAGTTTTGATAATTTCGAAGTATCAAATTTCATTTCGGCCAATATTTGCTAAATGGCAACGCATAAATGTACCGGTGCATTGTCATGGTATAATAACACTTTTTTCTTAGATATTCTAGAACATTTTTCCGCGAATATTGCCTTTAACTTCTTCAAAAGTGCTCTGCAATATTGGTTAGTAACTGTTTTTCCCTTCTGAAGGTTCACATCCCAAAAAAGTGATGTCATCACCTTTCCAGCTGATAGTACATACGGTCTTCGACTTTTTTCACCTCGAACCGTTTCACATTGTTTACCGTTTGGGTTGCGTTTTTGATTTAAATAATGGTGAATCCAAGTTTCATCCATAATTACAAATCGCCGTATGAAATTCGTTGAATTCTTCTTAAACATCTCCAAACAATCGGCAAGTCGCATACAAACTCGCTTTTGCTCTACACTGAGTATATGCGGCATTCATTTTGCGGAAAGTTTTTTCATATTTAATTGATTGTGCAAAATAAAATGAATTCACTCAGTTGATATGCATATGATTACTATCTCTCGCATTTCCACTCATCTGTTGGACAAAACCACATCATCAATTTTATCGACAGTTTCTGACGTGACAGTTGTTTTTGGATATTTAGAATGTGGTGTGTTATGTGATGTATCTTCGATGTTTGTTCTGTCATGTTTGAATTCGTTTACCCGTTTTTCGTTTATGAAGTTAAATGACTTCAAAAGATATGAGTCACCCAATGTAGGGAAAAACCTTTCAAAGATTTCTTTCCTTGTTTTCCCTTCCAAAAAAAAAGAATTGAATCAAATCTCATCAATTCCAATTTTATCCATTTTGCATTATAGCTTGCATTGAAACAACTGTCAAACAAAGAATTAATGGCGAAACGACTTGAAACTTCGCAAGGATTATTACAAAAAAAAAAGGGAACTATATGATCACATATACAGATGTTGTTCATGTCCTCTATGAATATCCGAACCAAATTACTCTTCAAATCACCCTCATAGTATTATTATGCTAATCCCGATAGTGGATATTTGCATCTCGTCGCAATAACGCTAGGAGCTCGCGCGTGTTCCAAGCAGGAAGAGCGTTAATGTTCGCCACGAATTACGATATACATCGACCTTACAACCCAAACACACTTTCGTTCCTCACATTCAATAGCCAAGATTCCGATCCTTCCGAAAAAAGTATACTGGCCTTCCAGCATATCCGATCGGGCGTGAGTCAACAAGTTATTTTCCACAAATTATTTTTCCGAATACAACTGTATACACGGTGACCCATTTTAATCGACAAACGGAGATATCTCCGAAACTACGCAATCTACGAAAAAAATGTTCGGATAAAAGTTGTCGAGGACAGTGGGGGTCATCTACTTGTGCTAATGACTTTGAGGTCAATTTTCAAGGTCATTTCAAGGTCAAGGTCACTTTTTTAAACGGAACCCCCTATTTTTAATGCCGGATTCAGAAAGAGCAGAAAATTTTACATCTAGTTATGTATCAAAGTATAAGGTTAACGTGACCTCCATAGGTCAAATGAAGGTCAAGAAACCACCCCTACCAAACCCCAAGCAGGCTAAACCACCTAACTCTGGGAACAGCGAGTGTAATCGCTTATTTTTCTTTAAAATAGATTGAATTCCAATCCACAAGTAGACTGACTCACAAGCTCGTGCATTATCTTCGTTGTATTCATGATGTCGACGTTGTCGAACCAGATTTCTATCACGAGCTTATTGAGATAGGTTTCGAACTGCTCAGTTGTTAGGATGTCTTTCATCTGGAAAACATTTAGTAAAAGCCTTCATGTAGCAAGGTAGTTGTTATGGCGAACTACTATCATATCACTAATTTTATTTGCAAGGTAGCCTGCCATACTGAGAAAGTGGCTTTAAAGAGAGTTTAATTCCTTCAAAAAATTTGTAATTAAACTGTACGGGGCAACATTTAAAACTATTAATTCATCAAATCATTTCAAGAAAAATAAGTGATTACACTCGCTGTTCCCAGAGTTAGGTGGTTTAGCCTGCTTGGGGTTTGATACAGGTGGTTTTACCTTCATTTGACCTAGGGAGGTCACGTTAACCTTATACTTTGATACATATCTGGATGTAAAATTTCCCGCTCTTTCTGAATCCGGCATTAAAAATAGGGGGTTCCATTTAAAAAAATGACCTTGAAAACTGACCTCAAGGTCAAGGTCATTAGCACAAGTAGATGACCCCCACTGTCCTCGACAACTTTTATCCGAACATTTTTTTCGTAGGTTGCGTAGTTTCGGAGATATCTCCGTTTGTCGATTAAAATGGGTCACCGTGTATAACAAAGTCATATTCCGAGATATGGAAAAATCGAAAAGTTCAAAGAATCCTGTATATATACGCGTTATTCTACCCGCGTGCGAGATATGTAGCCGCTAGCCATCAATTACACAATATGGAGTCTACCACCAAATCCAGACAAATTTAAATTTGAATTTCCTACCTCATTCGACTTCAGCGGTAGGTCGTTGTTGACGTTCAGGCAAGTCAGATGTTTGTAATAAGCGTGAATAACCTCAAAATGTCCAAGCAGATAATATTGAGTGCGGAGTATAACCGAAGAGCGGCGATAATCGAAAGCCTTCACGCTGGACGTTCATAGACCGAAATTATTCGGTTCAAATACGCGAGATCGACCGTATATGATGTTACGGTTAAATATAGTACATAAGACGAAGTTTCCAGCCTCTGTTCACGTCCTAGGCGTCGTCTCCAATGAGGATCTCGTCGTGTCGTCACATTTCTTTAAAAAAAAAGAAACCGTCACAAAAGAGATTTATTTACGCGTTTTGATGAAGGTAGTGAAGCCGTGGATAGATACCGTGGCCGCCGGGAGGCCGTACATCTTCCAGCAGGATGGCGCGCCGGCGCACACAAGTCACTTAGTTCAAAACTGGTTGTCGGATAATGTGGACATGTTTTGGTCCAAGGAATTCTGGCTTCCGAGCAGTCCAAATTTTAATCCGTTGAACTACTACGTGTGGAGCATTATTGAACGAGTGACCAACAAGTCGAGACATCCCAACGTGACATCTCGCCGCTATCGAGGCGACATTCGTCAATATGGACAAAAACGCGTTGCAGAAAGCGTGTCAGCTTCAGAACAAAGATCAAAACAGTCGTCAAAGCAGTCATCAAAAAGAAGATTATATAGAGTAATTTTACTCTAAAAGGATACCATTAATGATGGATAAGAAGTTTTTTGATGATTTTTACATTTTGACGAACAGAATTTTGTTTAAACAAGTTGTACATTTTGTCCAGATTTTGGTGGCGGACCCTATATGTCCGCGCTACGCATTTCCTTCGTACTTTCTCATAATAAGAGATAACAATTACTATAATTACATAAACATATAAAAATTTCAATATATAATAACTATAACAACAATAATAATACAAATCATTTTATGCACAATAATAATCATATGTTTCTTAATTTCTTTGTTATAAAGGAACATATACGCCATATACATACAAGGTGCATAGTTAGAATCCGGACAAAACAGAATTTGAAATTCCTGCTATATTAGAATAATTGACAGTAGATGCCATTTGGTGCTAAAGTAGACCAGATACGTGGATAAAATGTTCATAACCTCGAAATAGCCGAGTTGGTCAAATTAAGCTCGGAATATATTTGGAGGGTGGCTATTATTAAAATTTTTTACGCCGGAAAGACACCAAGCAAAATAATAAAGTTTATCGGGTATCTCAAATTGACGGTGTACGACGTTGCTCAGGGATACGCAGCCTCAGAAAAATACGAGGAGGGTTCCTCTACCCCAGCAAGGAAAACCCAAATAAGAGAGAAGGCGACAAGGACTCTGGAATTTACTCAAAGAGCCCAGAAGGGAATAACGGTCACAAAGGAGGTCTATTTGGAGATCCTGAGAATTGTGATAAAGCTTTGGATATAGCTTTAGGAAGGCCGTATATTTTCCAGCAAAACAACGCACCTGCTCACGTGAGTCATTTGGTACAGAATTGGCTTTCCGACAACGTCGACATATTCTGGTCCAAGGACTTTTGGTTTTCCCATACCCGACCAGGATATTGACCACATAATTTTACCTATAAGGTGGAAATGTGAAAAATAAAATGTTTTCGAATTAAGAAATTTATATTTTGCACGAATTCGGGCTAAAGAAAAAGATTCATGATACCAAAAGTAACCAAAGGGTCATGAATCTTCTAGTGAATTCTTTTCTAGTGTAAATTCACGAAGAATGTAAATTTTCTAATTGGAAAACATTTCACTTTTCATGTTTCCATCCTAAGTTACATGATTGACACCCTGAACTTTTTCGACTACATGTTAAACGTAGTCGAGAAGATTTATAACAAGTCCAAGCACCCCAAAGTGGTCTCTCCCTCCGGGCCATCATTGAGGCGGCGTTTGTGGCCATAGACCAGACTCAGTTAAAGACTGCGTACTTGCGTTTTAAGACAGAATCGAGGCGGTGATTGAAGCGGAGCGGCTACATCGAGTTGGAGGAATCTGGAAGGATCCATTAAATTAAAAGAATCCATGAATATTAAAATATTTTTTTGCATCTTTAATATTGGCTCTAATAAATGATTTTTCGGATAAAGCATTTCCATGTCCGAATTCTAACGACACATCTTATATATACATATATATTAGGTTAGGGAAAAAGTCTTTTTATAAATTACCGGTAGATAGATATACGGTCGATTTTTTACATAGCGCTATTTTGTGGTATGTTAAGTTATTTTATAGTTAAAAAGCTACTATTTCATACATCTTAAAGTAGATTCATCATAGATTTGAACAATATCGATGCAATCAATCAAATTTGAAAATGAGTAAAAATCAGGAACATTATCAACGAAAAAGAGAAAACGCTGTACAAGACAAAGAAAAAATTTGTCGTGTTTATAGAGAAGATGCTTTAACTAGACAAACAGCAGCGAATTAGTTTCGCCGGTTTCGAAATGGAAACTTTGATATTAAAAACGCACTTCGTTCTGATCGGCCTGTCGTGAAAAATATCGATGAAATCTTCTAAAAAATTGAAGAAAATCGTCATGTGAGTAACTATAGCTACACATCGATCATAAAACCGTTTTGAGACATTTGCTTTATAAGGCTGGATATATAAAGAAGGTCGATGTTTCGGTCCTTACCCGTTCCGCAACTTATCTTTACACCCTATGTTTTTAATGATTAAGAATTTCCAAACTTTTCCGAAGCCGTAACCGCCCAAACCAAAAACGTATTAATAAATTAAAAATTAGACGTTTGTGTAAAAATAGCTGTTGAATTGACGGAGCGTGAAAGAATCACTATCCTAATGATGAGTGGATAGGACGATAACGAACGGTCGTACGCTGCTGTCATCCGATTATTTAATAACACATTTCCTAATCGCCAAATTACTAAATCCACTGTTTATAACAATACGTTTTCAAGAAACTGATAGCGTAAGACACCGCGCTAAGACAGGCAGGCCATCGTCAGCAACTAACAAAGAGAAACAGCTTGATGTTCTGCAGTTGTTTATTGAGAATCCCAATATGACTGTTAATAGAGCAGCTTAAACTCACGACATTACCTTCACAACCTATACAGAATTTTAAAGAAAAACAAATTTCATCCATACAAACTACAATACATTCAAGAGTTGCAAGATGGAGATAAGGAGCGTCGTTTAGACTACTGCGACAGAATGATGGAACTAATAAATGTACGGCCCAATTTTCTTTATTAAATTGTTTTCACAGACGAAGCAACCTTTACTTTGACAGGAGAGGTTAATGACCAAAATTTTCGATTCTGGTCAGATGAAAATCCGAATTGGGTGCGGGAAGCTCATACCCACAATACCCGCAAAAAGTAAATGAATGATGGGATACGGTATGATATTAGGTGGTAAACTTAATTCCTGCCGCTCGGTACTAGAGGATGCCGGCTCCAACGCTGGCGAGTTTCGACGGTGAAGTCATATGTCTTGTATAGTTTAGACATTGCTGAAAGCGATTCAGTCCTCCCAGATTAGATTTTTCGACACCAAAGAGATTTTCCACTCAGTTGAAAATAAACTGCGATAAGCTGTTCTCCGACATGTGCTTCTTCACTACATCGACCTCAAAAAAACCGCATCTGAAAGGCATCGCTTATTATCCGAAATATATGGTGATAAAACTCCATCGGAAAGAACATGTAGAATTTGGTTTGAACGTTTTCGAAATGGTGATTTTGACGTGAGAGACAAAGAACGTCCTGGACAGCCGAGAAAATTTGAAGATGTCGAGCTGCAAAAATTGCTCAATGAGAATCCAGCTGAAATGTTTTTAGAGTTGTCGAAAGCGTTAAATGTTATTCCAATGGCGTCTTTAAACGCTTTCATGTCATGAGAAAAATTCTTAAAGAAGGGATATGACTATCACATGAGATGTCAGAAAATACTGAAGGGATAGTTTATTGGTGAAAAGATGATAGAGTTTCGATGCTTCGAATTGAGTCTTAGTCTTATAAGAATATTTAATAGAACACAGTACAATTTGTCTCACGATGTTACTCTCGCAGTGTTTCTCGAAAAACTGACTGACTAGCTGTTCGACGTCTGCCTTTTATCTAAAGATCGGTGAACCTCAAAAACGTCGGCAAGTCGGTATATCGATTACAATAGACTACGCCGTTTGGCTGTCGACTTTCTGAAATGCTGCCGGTTTCCGCGGCTAAACGCGGTTGGTCACAGATGACGCCGCTTTTGTATACAAACGCAAAGTCAATATGCCGACTGCTTTAGACACGCACCGTCAAAGAAGAAAAGACAAAGCATAAAATTATTATATATGTTATTTTATGCTACAATACCATTTTGAATCGCTCATTTATCGCGACTTTTTTGCTTGGCAAGCAAAGAAAAAAGAGTTTTTTGTGACGTATTGTGACTGACGATGAAAAATAGATTTATTATGATAATCCCAAACGAAAGAAATGGATGGATCATGGATAGACCCTGGCCAATCATCCACTTCAACGCCAAAAAGAAATATTCATGGGTATAAGACCTTGCTCTGCATTTAGTTGGACCAGGACGGTGTGCTGTATTACGAGTTCTTGCATCAAAATGAAACCGTTATAGGTGATCGTTACTAACAACAGTTATGTCGATTGAGTGACGAGTTGATGTAAAAAAGACCATCCATAGACAATAATCAACGCAAAGTCATTCTTTTGCATGATAACGCTCGATCCCATGTTACGAAAAGCGTAAAGTAGACATTTCTACAGCTTGAAATGTCCTCCCGCATCCAGCATACTCTTCAGACATGGCACTGTCGGATTACCATCTCTTCCGGTTGATGCAACACGCACTTACAAACATACACTTTTCCAGTTACGAAGAAGTTCAAAATGAGTGGATGAATGGGTCACCTCGAAAGACACCGCGTTTTACCGTCGTGAGATTGACCTGTTGCCGGAGAGATGGGAAAAGTAGTAGAAAATGAAGGAAATTACTTTGATTAAGATATTCATTCATCTTCCCTTCGAAATAAATCAATTTTGGAGACAAAAAAACACGGCAGGAATTAAGTTTACCATTCAATAGATAGCTATTTAATAGTACCATTTTTTGTCGAGGAGAACCTTAATGTTCCAAGGTATGAAAGATTACTTGTAAATCAAATAATTTCAGTTATACAAAATATTTTTCCCAGATAATTTCGAAGAAATATGATTTCAGCAGGATGGAGCTTTTCTTCGTTTCGGTCTAGGATCATGTAGAATTTTAAATGAGGTCTTTCCAGGAAGGTGAATAGGAAGAAGGAACCGAGATGAAGGACGAGGGGATTGGCTACCTCGGTCACCAGATCTAACTCCGTTGACTATTACCTTTGGGGCTACATAAAGAGTAAAGTTTACAAAACAAGGTTTACAAAACAAAACCTCAAAACATTTAAGAAGGCAGCGAATAAGGGACAAAGCGGATCTTATATTTATTTTTAACGCGCTGAAACAAACATGCGGAGCAGAAGGTTTTCAATCATTAAAGAGAAGGGGTGATGGTTTTCAGTCCTTATCCGTTCCGTAACTTATCCTTACAAACATTCACACACACACACACAAACACACACACACAACAGAGAGTTTGGAGTCATTAAATACTACGGAAGTGATAAACCGTCTTTATCTTTGCTGTAACACACACACACGCGCGCGCGCGCGCACAAAGGAGGTGTAAATACGACCGTGTAATCTCAACGCAGTTGAAAATCGCATCTAAAACGTATCGGTAGTGCTAATGGGAAACATTTGGATAGTGCTAATATTGGCGGTGCTATAATTTTCAAGCTTCATAACACCAAGAGTACTTCGCAGAAAAATACTTCATTATAGTGTTTTAGAAAGCTCTCGAAATAAGCTGCAAAAATATGTAATGAAAAATTTAAGAAGTTGAAGGTAACCTTTACGTGATCTTGACAATGCTATTTAAGGTCACTTAGGTCATTAAGGTCAATTAATACTATTATGTAATGCGTCATTTAGAAATCTGCACCTCTTGTATGAAACATGATTTTAAAAATCCATATTTTTGAAAATATTAAGGGGTCTCTTTTGGAAGACCGTGTATATGCGCACGCACACATACATATAAACACACATACATAGAATGCCCCATTCTAAAGTTTCTACTAAATTACCTCTTTAGGAAAGCATTTAAGAAAAAAATGTTTTGAACAAAAGTTATATAGTTTAGAAGGACACATTAAATGATGACATTGGTCATCATCACACAGCAGAGATGGTTCGGAATCAGAAAATATTATGGAAGTGACGAACTGTAGGGTCCTTATCTCTGTTGGCACACACAACATGGACATATACACTCACATACAGCAGAGAGGGTTTGGAGTTAGAAAATAATATGGGAATGACGGACCTTATATTAGGTGCTTGAGTTAATTCTCGCTGTTTTTTGCTGCAAAAACTCATGTTTATTTAAAAAAGATACATTATATTTTCATCAAAGTATTGTCCTTCGGAAACTACAGCTTTTTCCCATTTTT